TAACTTCAGGGACGTCTAGACTATGTTTAAAACGCTTTAACGTCAGCAAAATATTGAGAAATTTTAAGAAGATCAGGGAAGTCCAGAGAAGCCAATTAAAGAAAACTATAGACATATTTTGTGTATTTCATTTATTTCAGGGCATTATCAAGAACTTCTGGTTGGCTTCGAGAACTTTAGGGCAGTTTAATTAACTTCTAGCAAAATTAGAACATCTTCACATAAGTGCCATGAAACTCAGGGAATTTTTGAAAAGTTCAGCAAAGCTCTGACATCTTCAAAGAAGATCATTAATGTCAAGTTCCAGGAAGTCCAAAAGAATTATGGAATATTCCAAGTATTTCAGGGATGATCTAACATTTCTGTTAATAAGTGCGTTCATCAGGGAAGTTCCATGAATATAAGAAAAAATGTTGGAATGCTTCGGGATGGATCAAAGAACTTCAGGGTAGTTCCGATTACTTCAGAGATGCTCCGCAGGGTTGCTTCCACTCACTTGCTATAAAAACATATTTTTCGGAATTATGCAATCATTAGATGATATAATGATATGTTGTTCTTGTAAGAAAAGAGGGTGTAAAGTATGTGTTTGACTCATAAAACCTGTCAATTTCGCTTTCAGAGCGACACAATAAGCGATCTTATGATTCGTGAGCGTTCACTCAGAGTGAGCGCTCACGAATCGTAAAATTGCTGATTGTGGCGCACTGAAAACAATATTGACAGATTTTGTGTGTCAAACACATACTTCACGATCTCTTCTTGTAGCTTACAAGTTCTAATTATCACTATACCATCTCATGATTTCATAATTCTGAAAAACATTTTTTTATAGCAAGTAAGTGGAAGTAACCCTGATGCTCCGAAAACTGTTGAAAACCTCTGAGAAAATCAGTTCCATAGAGTATTATTGAAACTCAAAGATCTTAAAGGCAATTCCAATTACTTCAGAGAAGCTTCGAAAACTTCAGAAAAGTTTAGACTTTCGGGGAAGTATAAAGATCTTGAAGAATTCGTCCTTTTGTTTCGGTTTTCATTCTTCAAGAAAAAGTTTTACAGTTTTATCATCATCGACGTTTTGGTCCAGGGGTTGAGACCGTCATCAGGGCTAGTTTTAGTTTAAGATCGTAAAGATTTTTGACTTGAACGAATGGCGGTACAACTTAATATATGAACTCTGAAGAAGGCCAAGTCCAAAGACCGAAACATTGGACATATAATATCCTAGCGTTTTGATCCACCGTTAATAAATTAAAATTCCAATAACCGAAATTGTTATGTACTTTTAAGTTTTATGGTGAGCTGATGTCAGGCAAGTTTACCCGTACCCTTATTTTTGATTAGAGAGAACTAATTTGGGTGTACATTCATATATGGCCCTTGTTTCATTCATGATTAAAATATTTACTTTTTCTTCTTATTCTTCTTATTCGTCTTCTTCGTATTTCAAGCTTATTGCTTATCGCATATTAGTTTATTTCGTGCTCTCAACTTAGTGCTCTAGATGCACTTCCAAAGCTATTAATTGAGAGCTTTCTATGCCTGTACCATTTTTGCATTAGTATAATTGTGTGGCAAATATAATCATACCCTATGCCCAGGGATGTCGAGAAATGTTCGAACCCTAAAAATTCATAGACCGTACCGGAAATCGAACCCAGCCACCTCCAGCGAGGTCTTGTAGCTGCGCCTTTACCAACTGAGCTAAGGGAGGCCCAAATACATCCAGCTTTACATTTTAACCAGGCCTTATGCACTTATTGATGCTCGAAAAAGTGTATTACTGGGATTTTGTTGCGGTAAAAATTTGGTTCGTTTTATTTGCTGTAGTCAACTCTCCATATCTCGATATTGAAGGGACCATCTCTCGACCTCTAAGAATACATCGAGGTATAGGTACAACTAAATTAGCCTACTAGACCGTTTGAAGCTACCGAGATAACCATTGGCATCGGTCATATGGCGATATATAGAGCATCGGGATATGGAGAGTTGACTGTATACATTAGGGTGGGTCAACTAAACAAATCCATGCTCCCCACTATTCGTTCGATCGGAAACTGTGCCAAATTTGATCGAATTTGGCTACAATCTGGATTTGCAGGAGAACTTCAAAGTTTGTATGGGAATCAAAAACTGTTAATAACGCTTGCCAAAAATTAAATAAAAACTAAAAGGGACAGCCCTATTGGGTTGTTCGCAATGGTGACGTAGGACTTTGTAGTCTTATATAATAAATGTTATTTGTTAACTGAAGCAGGAGCTTGTGTTTTGTGTAGGTATAGGAATTTGAGCGGGGTTCTCTCTGTTTATACTCTTTAGTATGACTATGATTGCCCTGAAAAGAGCCTTTTGATATGAATTTTAGTTGGGACATGTTCAGAATTTTAACTCTTTTGGTAAATCTTGGTGGCCCTGAAAAGGGCCGATGATAGTACAGACTTAAAGCCTTTGGAAAAAGATGATGACGTGTAGGCAGCTGGATCAGCAAATCGGATCGCACAATTCCATATTCTTCGGATCAACGATTGGGCACTCGCAAGAGTCTCGGCCCGTCTGCTGCTGGACAGGGGTTGAACTGGTGTCTGTGACAGGTTGGAAGGCCGCAGAATATTAGTGTCCACCTAACTAAAGTTCCTCCTCTTTTCCCCCGTTAAACTCTTTCTCTCAACAAGTTGGTAAATCTTAGCCTTTAGCAGAGCGAATAATTGGACTTTTAGGCATCCCTAGAAAGTAGTGCAATTTCTTGTTGTTTTCAAAGCGGTGCGATGCTAGTTTTCATTACTATGACGACTACTGAATTAAGGGGCTTAGAAGCAGGGGGGTCAAAGTCAATTCTCTTCATCGATTTCCTCTTTTAATGGCCATGGCTTCACTAACCTATTCCGCACTATTTCTGCCATGCTCTTCTATCATCAAGAACAACAAACGTATCAATGAATGTGTTTGTCGTCGAGTGATTAACAAAACAGAAAGTCGATGAAGAGAATCGATCAAAATCACTTGCACCCCTGCTTATAAGTTTGGTTACAAGATTACAACTCTGGAGAGCATTTTGTGTTGTCGTTGGGGGCGTGTGATTCTGAATATGGCGATGAGTGTGCAAAATGTTACGCAATTACATCGTCCCTATTCACAAGCGCCCGAAGATCGAAGGCGAATTTCACTTCGACTTGATTCGTCTACTAACGACTCTCTCATGATAGTGTTGGGGAAGCAGCAATGCTACATCGACATATTTCGTCTAGAAACGATTCTCTGATGACTGTGTTGGGGAAGCAGCATATGAATGTACGTAATTGGTGACGTTTTTGGACAATGCTTAACATTTACCACTTTTTCAATAGTTTCTAGTCTAAAGCATTGATGTTGATGCGTAGAAATATTTCTGATCAATTGGTGATAAAATTATTTAAATCAGTCCAGGGGCAGCTGAGTTATTAACGTTCAAAATCTTTCATAATTTCGTTACATGTTCCATTTCTGGTTTTCACAAACTGTATCCCCATATAGAAATCACAGACATAGTCCTACGTCAAAATTACCTGAATTTCTCAGGTTTTTCCTGGAAATTGACGGATAATTTTCAATTTTATAAAAACAAAGCTACTTTTTTTGGTAAAACATAGAATGAATTTAAGTGTTAATTTAAAAAAAAATGCCGAGGACAATTCTTACAACATTCTTGGAAAAATCGTAAGTTCTAATCAGAATTCCAACATAATGTTGAGATTAATTCCATGCGATTTCGGGTGTGAATAAATGTGAAAGAAATTCTTTGTATTCTTAAACTAATTCCAAGGGAGTTGTGAGGAGAGCTTCAAGAAAATACCTACGTTATTTTGATGATAATTGTATGAGAATCTTGAGGAGAACATTAGCGTAATTTTAAAAAGAACCTCTAGAGAATTCTAGTGAGATTTCAAAAATAAAGTGAAATCAATTGAATTCCAAGAAAAATACCGAAATATAATGGAGAATAATGTTCAGAGGGATTTCTGATAAGAGTTTTGACTCGAGTTTAAAGATTTTTTTGAGAATTTGAAGAATTAGAGAAGAATGTCAAAGTGATGGAATTCTCAAGATAGTTTCAATTTTCAAGTGAATTTCAGAGAGAATTTCAAGGTATTACGAGAAGAGTTTTCTGGTATTAGGAATGCCAATATATTTCTGAGCAAAATCTTACAATAATTGCGATTAATGTCATGAGAATTCAAAAAAGTTATCATATAGTTGAAACAACAGTCTGAAGCATTGATATTGATGCGTAGAAATATTTCTGATCGATTAGTGATAAAATTATTGAAATCAGTGCAGGGGCAGTTGAGTTATTAACGTTCAAAATCTTTCAGATTTCGTCACATGTTCCATTTCTGGTTTTCACAAAGTGTACCCCCATATAGAAATCACAGACGTAGTCCTACGTCAAAATTGCTTAATTTTGACCAAACCTGATACCTAAAATGGGAAAACTTTGCAGAACAGCTTTGTCTAAGATCGCAAAAGTTATTCACCTTTTACTTAGGTTCAAATCTGAAAGCACATATAGTAGAGATATTAAAAAAAAAACATTGAGATAATTAATTAGTCAAAACAGATTGTTTTTGATACCCGGACTAAATTGACATTGGAATAATGCCGTATTTCGCCACGCGATTATAAAACGTATCTTCCGTTGTGACTCACACTGCTCCAGTTTGATAATTGATTTCTTATCGCAAACTTCTACGAAATCCGCTGGATCGCACCCGGATCGAAATCCTGAATTGACCTTTCTAAACGTCACAGAACAAAAATAATGCAATTTGAGTAGATCCTCCTCGATCACGCCGTGTTTCATAACGCTCCACTCACATCTCACTCATTGGTTCTGGACCTCTGCCTGAGCAAGCCACTGGGACGCACCAAAATTGAAACGTTCTTGCCTTGACGGCGTGTGCCCTTATCAGTAATTTTCCCCTCACCGTAGTTTCGCATCCAGGCATAGAAGCCGATCGAGCAACAGGCAAGCACCCCAGTTCAGCGCCGTCGTTGGTCTAGGAAAGGTGCACTTTTTCGCTTTGTCCAAGGCACAAGCAGTTCATAATTCGCGCTCGCGCATCGCAATTTGGCTTGCACTTCCCAACACCACGAGTCCCCGTTGCAATGGAGAAGGGTTCCGATTCGATAAACGGACAAATTAGATTCGCGAACATTACCCATTAGCATCGTGCGGCGTTGCTATCGAGTGAAGAATAGGCAGTTTGAAACAGCCAGTCGAGAACAATGTTGACTTCGATTCGGTCCAGTTGATCTCTCCCGCCTGCTAGTTGTTTTTTTTTTTTTTTAAATCGCTCATTATCACAGCCACCCGGCAGAACACAACAAGCCACCGACCGGCTCTTGTTGAGTCAGAACGAAAGAAGACTTGCTCCTACCTGGTGGTAAACTCGCTTTCTCCTGTGTGCCTGATATAGTGATAAGGCAGTGGGTACAAGTGAAGTGGAAGAACTGTTTGTCTATTGTTGTGTGTGATCGCTTCTCAACGAGATGTCATCGCTTATGGACAAAAGCAAGCTACCGGTGCTGGAAAGCCGATCGAAAATGTTCCTCCGGAGTAACTCGTTCCAGAAGCTGTGCTCGCTGGCGCATCCCATGAGGCTGAAAGGTATGTTACATGGTGCATTTCACAGTTAGTTCCAGTGCAATTATCGCGTGTGTGCATGCAAGACTCGGAAAACAGCGCACATTCCCGGTCCGGCGAAGAAGTTGAAGGGTTTCTTGCGGATATCGATCGATTTCCCCCCCCCCCCCCCCTCACTATGTGGTGATGTATGATGTGTGTGTGTAGTGTACTTGTTGCACCCAACGGAGAGGCGGCGAAGCGATGGCGTTATGTGATTTTAAGAAGTTAACTTGGCACGTAACAATAAGGGAAGATACTAGAACGGAATACATAGTGACACACTCGATTGTTCTCTATGACGCAGTACGGGTGCCGCGATTGCACTCGATGATATAATGTCAGTAGGTGACTTTGGCTATCTTAGCAGGTCGACTGGCACTATCTCAGCAGGAGCAGGTCATTGTGTCGCTTTTCTCCGGCACATACCAAGAGGATGCTTAGTGAAACTGCACTTGATAATCAATATTTGCGGTGGGACGTGTTTGAATAGTGTCTGAAGAACTTGATGAAGGGCTGCCTCGATGGGATGGAGATAGTGAGCAAATAGCTTAAGATAACAGGATAATGGCACACTTCATTGGATCACGTAATGAATTACGATCGCTGGTGTGATTGGACTAGATGGAGAATAGTTTCTTTTAGTTCGTTACATACAACTAAGAAAACTTAAATTCAATTATCCAGTGTCATTCTGTCTACATATAAGCTAGGTTTTATAAGATTATAAAAAGATTCCTTAATTTGCATTTCAATTCAAATAACTTTCGTTCGATTTTTTTAATCAATACTAACTTTTTGAACAGTGTTAAATAAAACTTGATTGATTTGTTTTATATAGTTCATTTATTGAACAAGGTTTAATCGCATTAGATTTACGGAGCCAATAATTCATTATTCACTTATTCACTAATTTCTATGTCTAGGAGGAGTCGGGCTGAATACCCGCGGTTTACCCGAGGTTAGAGAGGTACATTTTCCAAGGAAAGGATCAGGGTAGGAGCCTGGCTTGGGGGGGATTCGTAGTTTCACCAGAGCGTTGTCGCCAGTTTGAATGATAGTGCGGTTCTATGATGATGATGATAGTCCCACCTCTACAAAGGTTTGAGATGGACGATTTATCTTAAAGATAATTAAATATGACAATTAAACCAGGTTTGCAAACAAAATCTGCAAACAAAATCGATCTAATTACAGTTACAGATATAAATTCCCTCTAGAGTTTACAGTTGCTTCACAGCGATATAAATGTGGAAAAGCTCAGGCGTCCACCTCTTAGTTCGCCTTTTTGTCCTCCTAAAATATTCATAAGTATTACAAGCAATCAAGAGTTAGTGAACAATCAACAAAGCATCCTATAACACTAGCAACCCCGCAATCTAATGCTATCAGAATTTTCAGCAATACTCACGAGCCCCCAACATTTGCCAGAAAACTTACTACTAACTCAAGGTATCTTTCAAATAAGCTGCAAAATTGCATTTTTGTTTTATCAAATTTTAAATTCATTCCTCTATATCCGTAAAACGTGCGCGAGGCTCAAACCTTTTTAGACTTTGTTCGCGATTGAAGCGAACGTAATGTGTTGTAGAAGTAGTAGTAGTAGTTGTTTTGTGTAATCGCCCTAACCACTTACCCAATCCTTTAAAACTCTACTAACCCCGAGGCGACCGCGGGTAATCGGTTTCCGAAACTAACCCTAATGTGCTACATGTTTAATTTGTATCAAGACCCTGAAAACAAGCTTTGATCATTTCCTTACGCTGCCGCTGGCTTGGCACGAGCATGCAAGCAGCAGCACCGACCGAGCGACGAGCGACCGACCGACCACAAACCAACGAGCGTGCAGCGAGTGCTGATTGGTTATGAATGAAGGAGAAATGAATGAATGCAACATCAAAAAGAAGAAAGCCAAACACATTTAAAGCGACGCATTTTGCGCGTCGCCATGATACAGTCCACAAGCTTTGTAAAGCAAACACCGAAATATAGCGCCGTTGAAAGTTTTAATTCATTCTCGTTTTTCCTCTTTGGACAAGCCGAAGCCAAAACAGTCCTTTTCAGGGCTATGAGTTGAGTTGGATTTCAGTCGAGCTTTTCGTTGTGTTCCTGTTGGCATTCCCACAGGGGGAATTGGCCAAATCAGCTGGAATCCTCCGAGCCGAGGATTGCCACACCATCTCCAGTGTCCGTGATCGGACATTTTTGGTCCTGCCGAACCGGATCCGTGTGATCCCATCCGTTTCTGTTGCAACCGCAACAGCGTTTTGACAATCTGACGATTGTCGAAAAGTTCCTGCCTTTCGTCGCTGTGATCAGCCGATCGGATTTCCTGCTACCTCACGAAAAGCTCGCAGAGTTTTGTTTTAGAATTTTCTTGTGGCTTGGCTAAAAGGAAAACCGCAAGTTTCTTCGAAAGTACAGTCGCGAGTGAAATCGAACCTGTTCGTCGTCGCGTGTGCAAAACAAAACATACGCGAACGTCTTACGTCGTGCGCCAGTGGTGGAACGTGTTTATTCCTGTCCGTTCCTGCCTACCGTTGTGCAGGTGATCGCTGTGCTTGATGCCAATTCAACACACACCTGTGAAGACCGAAAACGAGAAGATGGCTGAAGTGAAGACTCTTGTTCACCTTCGTGGGCAAGCGAAGGCCAAAGTGACGAGGATCCGGAAGGCCGTTGAAGAAGCATCTGGAGCTGGAGCAAGGCAATTGAGTATGGTGCAGCTGAAAGTCTTCACACGCAATTTGGAAACGCACTACCAGGAGTATTGTGATATTCATCGGCAAATCGTCGCTTTGACTCCCGCCGAAAAACTAGTGAACCAGGATGAAACGTACATCCTATTCGAAGACCAACACAACGAGGCTTGCATGTTGGTCGAAACATTAATCCAGTCGATGACCGAGCCGCAACCTCGTCCGATGCCATCGTCCCAGCGAGAAGGGATTCCTCGCATCATCGTACAGCAGCAACCACTCAAGGCTCCCATTCCCACCTTCGATGGGAAACCCGAGAACTGGCCACGTTTCAAGGCCATGTTTCTCGACGTCATGAGAACATCCACCGATTCCGACGCCATCAAACTTTACCACCTTGATAAAGCGTTGATTGGTAATGCCGCTGGAATCATCGACGTCTGCACCTTGAACGAGAATAATTATGCCGGAGCATGGGAGCTGCTGGAAGAACGTTTTGAAAACAAGCGGCTCATCGTAGACACACACATCCTGGGGCTGCTTAGCCTGAAGAAAATGAACCGAACAAGTGCCAAGGATCTTCGGGAATTAGTCGACGAAGTATCCCGACACATCGATGGATTGAAGCTCATGGAGGAAGTGATGAACGGTATGTCGGAGCGTTTCGTTGTCAACCTCTTGGCAACAGCTCTGGATGCCAAAACCCGGATGGAATGGGAATCAACCGTTCCCCACAAGCAAATTCCCACGTACAAGGACACGATGGAGTTCCTAAAGAAGCGCTGCGCAATCCTGGAGCGGTGCGAGGATGCGATCGTGAAGCCGCCCGTTACGAAGCCATCTGTACCAAGCAAGAATCAAGTGAAGAGCATCTCTACCAAAGCTTTTGCTGTCACCGGAAAGGAGTCCTGTGACGTGTGTGGAACTGGAGCCCACCCGAACTTCAAGTGCGAGATCTTCCGAGCGATGACCGTCGTGCAACGCCAAGCCAAGGTAAGAGAGATCAAAGCTTGTTTTAATTGTTTGAAAGTGGGTCATTTAAGTAATTCGTGTACATCGTCATATACGTGTTCTAAATGCAAGGGTAGACACCATACCCTTCTGCATAGTGATAAACCGGTTTTCCAGTCTACCTCGAAATCCAATGTCTCGAACGCTGAATCCCAGTCTGTTTCTGAGGTTTCACAGTCAATTTCGAAGTCTCAACCTTTTCCTGATGTTTCGCAGTCTGTCTTGAAATCGAATGTCCCAAATGTGCAATATCAATCTGTTCCCAAGGAATCCCAGTCCAATAGTGCAGTCTCGCGTTCACTGAAGCAACCATCACGTCTGAGTCATAGTTTGTTGATGACCGCTAGGGTTCAGATTAAGGATTCGGATGGAAATCTGAAATACTGTCGAGCATTTTTGGATTGTGGTTCCCAGGCTCACCTTACTTCTCGTAGTCTGGTTAAGTCTTTGAATCTACCCCGTTTCTCCACTAACGTTGAGGTAGTCGGAGCAAATGGTCAGCGTTCAACGCTATCTGAGATGGTTAGAATTGAGATACGTTCTTGTAATTCTAACTATGCTGCGCAACTTGAGTGTCTTGTTGCTGACAAAGTTACTGGCCCTATGCCATCTGTTCCATTTGATATAAGGAAGTGGAACATCCCTCCGAATCTTCCACTTGCAGATCCTGAATTTCATATTCCTGGTGAAATTGACTTGCTGATTGGAATTCAGTTGTTTTTCAAATTATTGCTGCCAGGTCAAGTCAAGATGACTGATGAACTTCCAATCCTCCAAGAAACTCGGCTTGGATGGGTTGTTGCTGGTTCTATCGAAGAGTCTCATGTTGCACAACATTGTTACTCTGTGGGTCTGCAAAGTCTTGCTGATTCTATGGAAAGGTTTTGGTCGATTGAATCCGTGGATTCATGTAATCCTCTCACCAATGAAGAACAGTTGTGCGAAGAAATTTTCTGCTCCACAACCCATCGTAACCAGAATGGTCGTTACATTGTTCAATTGCCCCTGAAAGATTCTATTCATCGGGTAGAAGACAATCGTTCGATTGCTCTTCGTCGATTCTTCATGCTGGAACAACGGTTCCTGAAAAACCCTGAGCTGAAAAAACAATATGCAGAGTTCATCAATGAGTACAAATCCCTCGGTCACTGTATTCAGATTGATGAGTCTCAAGATCCTCCAAAGCTTTTGAAGTATTATGTCCCTCACCATGCGGTTTTGAAGCCTACGAGCTCTTCAACGAAGCTCAGAGTTGTGTTTGATGCTTCATCGAAG